CTGTCTAAGTTAATCAAAATTAGAACAATGACTAAGAAGATCTTCTGTAGTTTCAGCGTCTACAGAAATCGCTATAAGGAAGTTTTAAACTTTTCCAGTGTTTACCAACTGACCAATAGCCAGCTATAAATGTTATAAGGTTTCTGAGATGGAGTCTACTAAAGTTTAATGCAGAAAATGTCCTTTTTATATCCATATCATAGTAAGATCACTCTTGAATGATTTGACGCCTACCACCTGGTTGGCACTAATTGGAAGACAGTCACCCTTTTGTAAGCTATAGCATAGACACTCGTCACTTATCTATCCCCAAGTAATCTAGAGATTAGAATCTTATAAAAACTTAAGACAAAAGGTTCATTGCCATATATTGACAACTTTGGCGTAGCTTTCAGACTATCTCATTGTTCGATAAACTTAGTATTAAGACAATTGGGTAGTAGGGTGACTATTAAACCAACCTAAGTGGTAGGTAGGGATTGTCCCCCCAAACTACTGGGATTTCTTCAGAGAGTATGGAGTAACTGACAATATAAACAATTGTCAGTATTATCCGTGACTGTTCGATTATCAAACTCAGTCTCTCTTAGTTCATCAAAAGCAGGACAATGCCAGAGAAGATGTTCTGTAGTTTCGTCTTCTTTTGCGTCGGGATACCAACTGGTCAGTTGCCGGTTATAAGCCGGTTATGAGGTTTCTGAGATAGAGTTTATTTTCTTTGTACAGGGGTGTTCCTTCTCAATCACATGAGTAGTCGAGTGGCTATTAAAGCTACTTGGCAGGTATAAGTTGTCTCCCTAAATTCCCGATATGTCTTCAAAGAGTAATTGAGATAAGATTTTGTTAATTTTTCGATCATCCTTATCTTGTTTGGCAAGAAGGAATGAAGAAAATCTTTGATCATCTTCCCGAGAGAAAACGTTTATAAATTTCGAAATTCTTTCGTTCTAATTTTCCTAAAATTATATAATAAAACACTTAATTGTGTACTACTAGGTTGCTGTCCGTATTAAAGGTGTCCAACAGGACTGGTGGATGTCAATTACATAATTATAATTGTAGTTTTACCAATTTCATATATGTAATTGTAATGAATTACTTAATGTGTTACATCCCAATCCAGATGCCTAACCAATTAACAGTTTCCGTTTTCAGGTTGCACTTCTCAAAATGATCTTGTTATAGTGATTTGTCAACTAATTTTCAAATGGTTTCTCTATAAATGAATTAAAAGTTTACTTAATTACTTTTTGTTTTTTTTCTAACAAAAATATTTCGAAAATTCTCACACCTTTAAAAGGATGTCAAGAGATAATTCCAACGCATAATTGAAATAAATAAATTTAATCCGATTTAGGGCTACAACTAAATTAGTCTACTTAGAACAGTTGCAAACACACACAAAAGGTAGGATAAAAATACACACATACATATTTATATTGACATGTATTTAAAAAAAATTATTATTAAGAAGATTAAGATCTTTGAAAAACTTGGAAGTTGTTAAAAATCAAAATATTGTTAACCTAGTAATACCTGAGGACTATAATAAAAAATATATATTAAACAGTATGCACTAAAAGCAAACACATACATATATTCCTACATATAAGGATCATACTAAAGAACGAAGCCAAACAGGACAAACAAGACGTACAAACTAAACAGAAGAACAGCTGAAAAACTCATCTGCTATTCGATTATTGTTGGTTTTCATTGTCCTTGTACCGAAATGCAATCGTTAACGTTGAATGAATATACAATGACACAATGGTACGAGCGAGCACATCATCCAAGTGTTTGCACAGGCGCAGCAGGTTATAATATCCGATTATACGCACACGTCTTGCTGAACTACAAAAAACAAGAACGAAGAAGCTGATAAAATAACAAGGAGTGGAAATATTGAAAGAAATATATTGAACGTGTTTTACTTTCTTCCTTCTTCCTTTATTTTTAGTTTTGGATAATTGTATTATCCTACCGTAAAGGACTAAAGGAATTAACGCTTGGTATGATGGCATAGAATTGTATTCTGTTTTTTTTTTTTTTTTTGTTTTGTTTTAAAACACGACTATGAATGAATGAGGAAATTGAAAGGAAATATTGAACACGTTGCTTTGTATGGTTACCTTTGGTACAACAACCACAATGTTGGTTGTTAGTCTTTAGGCAGTTAGCCAGCCATCCAGTCAGCCGTTGTTGCTATGTCACATTTAGCCAATTCATTAAGTGTTTGACTCTTTGCTCGTTACAGTGATTGCCTAGCAGCAGGTGATCAATTTGTCTGTTTGTACTAATTTCAAATCCTATTAGAAACAAATTGTCGTTAAATAATCGTAGCAGAGAGATAAATAGATGTTGGTATCTATGTTTCGTATGTGTGTGTGTTTGTAAGGGAGAATGTATGTGTATTGTTTGTTGCACTTCCGTCTTATCCAGCCTACCAACAAATAAACGTAACAATAACAACAATTTCATTGTTAGTTAATTTTTTGTAAAATTTTTATTTGTTCATGCCACCAACCTTGAAACTCTTGCAACTTACCTTTAATGAATTAAAATCCGTGAATGTGTTTGTATGTTTTTTTTTTCTTAAACTGTAGGAAAAAGAGAAACTCAATTTTATGGTTTTGTTTAGCGAAAATGTGTAAATGAGAAATTACTCTCAAAAGGATCGATCATAATTCATGTTAAATTCTGGTTAAATTAAATATATAACCATATGTCGCCACCTGAAATAATGTTTTTTATAGGAAAGACATGTGCCAAAATAACACAAGAAATACAATTTTATTTTAAACAATACCACAACATTTTCAAATACTTAAAACAAAAACAAAAATAAAATTAATTAAAATAAAAATAAAATGATATTACCGCCAAAAGAATCGTTAATTAATGACCTCATTAGACAGATACATAACACTCACAATACATCATTAATCTTTGACTGCAACCAGAACCAGTGTTGAAAACCTTTTCCGACAGGTATGAATATTTATAACGACTCTTTCATACTTTTTACTTTACAAACAGTTTGCCAGTTAGTTTTATATATGAGTATACATATGTATATGTTGAAAATGCAAATTATCACAGACACAAAAATTGTTTTTTATTTATTGTAGGTGTTTCACCAACAAAATAAAAATGTTGTGAAGAAAAGTATTTATTCGCATTATGTTTTGTTTTCTATGTGTCGCTGAGACATTTTTAACTTTCGGTTCATTTGCTAAAGAAGCAGCAATTCTCACATGATGAAATGTTTATACAATTTTATTAAGGCTCGTTGCAAGATCATCTATTGAAACATATTTTTTAATACAATTTTATACTGCCGATGACTCTAAACATTGTCTAAAGGTTAATAGAGTTGCCAAGTTAATAAAAAGAATATGTTTTAAATCAAGACCACTAGGGTTAGTTACATTGTGGCATGATGCTTTTTAACTAAACTAGTTTTGGAGTCGTCATTAATTTCTCTCGATGTTATTGAGTATTTTTATAGATCGTTTTAGCAAAGTTTTTATTGATGGCATCTCATCGATCTAGTTTATGATTAATTTTTGGGGGGCTCCTCATGACCCTGCCATATGTTACTCTTTTCTTCAAGTTTCCAAATCTTTCATCAAATGTCAGCAATATTTACTGATCTCAAGATTCTCTGACATCCTACACCACTTTAGTGGGGACGTAATATTGAATTTGTGTTAATGTTTGCAACGGATAATAATATTGGTGCTATACCCACCTTAAAGTATACTAATCGGCTTAGTATCATTTTCTGAGTATATTCGTCTGTCCGTCAAGGTAAACCTTGTAATCTAAACAATGAAATTTGTAACATGATCTTATATTGCCCCATTATATATTATATTTTCTCTCTTATACAACTGAAGCCCCGAATAGGACTTGTAAACCTTGTAATCAAACTAAAATTCACAATTTTAATGATAATTTAATGAAATTTGTTATAATCCGTTATCCAAGGGACTATGTCTATTAAAAATGATTTAAATTTGCACCTAGCCCCCATATAACTGAACCTCCCGAATATGACTTTTGAGTTCATAATTATATTTAATATAAAGTGGTACAACTAAGTTTTATATTTGCCTTGATGACACTGCCGAATTTGCCCTAATACAAAGTCCCCTTCAGAAAATGAGTTAAATGTCCACTACCAATGTCGCAATGAAATTCAGATTATATACATTTTATGTAAACGTAGATCCTTCCCACTAATTTTGGGAGGATCGTTCTAGATTTCCCCCCAGACCCGATATAAAATCACTTTCAGAAAATTAGTCTTTCATCATATATATCGGAAGCAAGGTATAATATAACTTAAATGCTTTATTATACAAAATAATTCACTCTTTATACCCTACACCACTATAGTGGGAAGGATATTATGCGTTTGTGCTAATGTTTGTAACGCATTAAAATATTAGTACTATACCCACCTTAAAGTATACCGATCGATTCAGAATCACTTTCACGTTTGTTTTGACCCAAGGACGAAGCCTATTGAAAATGGTTAAAATCGGTCCCCCCGAAAATGGCTTTCGAGCTCATAATAATGTGTAATATAGATGTATCACGGTGAAAATTCGTACAACTAAGTCTTATACAAGCCTAGATGACCTCGCCGAATTTCGAAATAATCGGACTTCATATGACCCTAGCCCCCATACAAAGTCCCCTTCAGAAAGTGACTTGAATATCCGCAATTAATATATTAACACTGTTATTGCAGTGAAATTTAGCACAGACAAATATTATATACATAAATACAAATCTATCCAGCCCATTTTATCGCGATCGGTCCACATTTGCTCCTATCGCCGATATAAAACCTCTATTAGAAAATTAGTTTTTAGTCAATAAATTGCTTAAATAAATAGGAATCGAGGTAGTATTCAAGATAAATGCTTTATTATGAAAAATAAATGACATTTAATATTCATAAATGGTGTAGGGTATCATATGGTCGGCCACTCCCGATTATACTTTCTTACTTGTTATTTTATAAACAGTGTAGGCTACTATATACATATGTATCTCTTGGAGTACTCAATTCACATTTGATTCTACGAAAAAAGCGATTTTGATTAATTCATACAACATTTTGGCATCAGGCAACTACAGTAATTCGGAAGATGTGATCTCAGTCTACTCTCAAGCAATTGATTTCATCTATACAGTAGTGAGAACAATCAGAGTATTAAATATCGCATCTAACAAGAACCTTAGCTCCAACGTAAACACGACAAAATATTTTGAAATTACAGAAAAGAAATCGGTCCGGTACTTTCGATGTGAGTCCCCCACTCTGCAAGAGAAAGAAGTCGATTAACTATTAAAATATTATGGGTTATTTCCTCTTTTATAAATAACCAAAATAGAACCGTTAGTTTTCGGCTTTGTACTTCATTAAGAACTTTATGGAATAGTTCTTAAAGTTCAATCAGATTTCTGAAAGCAGCAAGGATATTAACAATCTGTTCAAATGCCTACACGTACATACATATGTTAACTACCGATTTATAAAAATAGCTTATCTGAATCGATTGAGATCATTTGGTAACCCATGTGATAAAATCTACTTACATACATACATATGTACATCTATGCACATATTCGCTGTCGCATTAACAAAAAACGAATTCAAATAAATGGCGGTTAGCTGTACACATATCATCCAGACGACCGAACAATTCAAATCTACAATATACTTCTACTAAGTATGTAAGGATGGAGGGCATATTCATAGTGTGTAGAGTATGTGTTATTTTTTGGAGTTTTTTTCTGGTCTTGAACACAAAAAGGACACTACTTCCAATTGGACCGCAATTTATTGACACCAATAAATAATGACTGTACACATAATACACATTCAATCTGCTGACATTGTTCCTTGCAGGTGCGCAGGGTGAATAAAGCTGCTGCTGCTACTTTCAGCCGCCGTCGCAGCATGCTTTTAATAAAATATGTGAATTTAACTAAAAGAATTCAAAAAGTTAAGAAAAAAATGAAACAAAAAAGCATTAAAAAAAGGTTAAACTCTAAACACTCACTACCTTCAACCAGACACCACAAAAGACTAAAATGCAAATATGTATGTACGAGTACATACTTACAAACATACAAACACATTCGTATAGAATGCAGGCAGGCAGGAAAACATCCGCACCACAGTCAAATGCTCCCAACCAACAACCGAAAAAATGTGCGAAAATTCAAAAACACAAAAATTTCGCTCCTACTTTATCACGGTTTGAATGCTGCTCATCTCACATGTACGAGCACTCGCATGCAACCAACCAGCCAGCAAGTCAGCCAGCCAGCCAGCGAGCCAAGCAGGCAGGCAGGCAGGCTAGTTTGGGAATCAGGCAGTCAAGCAGTCAGGAATAAAATAAAATTATATTAAAAAAAATGCTTAAAGTATATTTGTATGTACACCTAGAGAAAAAATAGAAATCATTCCAAGATTACTATATAAAATTCAAACATATTATAGTCACTGTAATTAGATTCGTGGTTGTCACAACTATTTGATGTTAAATTTACAATTTAAAACATCATATGATCACAATTGTTTCTCTAACTCCTCCATAGTGGGGAGGTTTTTATGGATTTGTTCTGATGTTCGCCATACACATAAATATTGGTCCTAACCTCACTTTAAATCCAAAAACCAATTGGATTAGAATCTTTTTTTGGTGGATTAATCTATACCGTCTGTCCTTTTGCCCATTCTTCCTTGTCCATAAATAAGGTTTATTTAGTATTAATGTGGACACTACTGGTCCACATTTGAACCCTTATGAGGCCCAAGTGATTGTGATAAACATATTCTTATTTGCTGCAATCATATATATGATTACGGCAATAGTTTGAATGGTGAGTTTAACACAATATTGTTGATGTAATGTTGTACACTTGTTATAGTAATTCTCAAATTATTTGCTCTAAACATAACAAACCATATTATTTCTCTATGTGTATATATTTATTTAAACCTTTAACATACTCATTGTACACCTATGAAACGATAAATGGATGATGTGGTTGTAAGTATGTATGTTCGTTCATACGATGTTTTGGACAATATTAATGTTTGTCTGTATGTATGGCTGGATGTATAGGTATTTGGGTACACAATGTATTTGTGGCGTATGAATACGATGAATGCGACAGATTCAGTGGCAGGCTTCCCACAAACAGCTCGGCTGTGTGGCGTCAAGATTACAGCGATAAGATCAATGGCATGTCGCATAAATGCCCAATAAAATTGCTCCAATATAAAATAGCAATCGATGCCGCCAACTTTAACGTTTATTAGGTGTGAGAGACTTTTTGGTACAACGTCAAAGCACAAAGAATTTTACAATTTACTTTTTTTCACCCCATTTTTTGGTTATTTTATTTATTTATTTATTTGTTTGTTTCTTTCTTTTTTATTCACTTAATTTTATTTTTTTTGTTTATTTTTTTTGTGAAAACGCAAAGAAAGGAATACAAGAAATTTTTGACCAAGTAAAGTAATAATAATAAGGCTCGTTGTTATACGATTCACATGAGATTTTTATTATAAAAATTTTTGATACCAAGTTTAATGTTTGTCCGTCCCAACATCTCTTTCTTCGTTCGGTCAACAAGACAAAAGAAAAATTCAATGTAATCTCGCGAAAAGAAATTAAAAACTGCAGACCAATAATATATTCCTACATATTTTGGTTCATTATCAAGGTTTCCCATAGTAATCGTATTTTGAAAATGTCTTAAATTGTGTGAGTTGCTGCTTGTGTCTTTGTATTTTTTTTTTTTTGGTTTATCCTCTGCCCCATGATAAACAGACTGAGAAAATTTAAATGAACATCTGATGATGGAAATATTGAAAATTCAATATTGTAAAACAATGACTGCTTGCTGTGCTTAACCACCAATTGATTATTGCAAGAAGCAACACCCTTGATTTGTGGGAATCAGGCAAAAATTTAATGCAAAATTTATATTCATAAATTAGTGCGATTTTTGTGAGTTTTCATTATACGTATTTTAAATTTTTTACTGTGATCAAAGGAAAAATTATCAAGAATATACAGTCAATTGTAGATCCTTAAATCACTCTATGCTGAAGGTCCCCTTCAGAAAGTGATTCGAATAAATTAACAGTCTACTTTTCTAAAGAGTTTAAGATATGGGAAATTTCGACCGATAGAGCTAAAAATTTGTGCCTGGCCTATTATCCAATAGTACTAACCTTGGTGCAAAATTTCATCGAATTTTTGAGTTGGGTCACTTGACTGCTTCTTCCAATTTTGCGGCCTACATTTTCTGAAAACTTTTTGCTGTGAAAATAAGGACATTTAATGACATTACAATATGTATAAATAAAGGTATCTTTGCTCTGTTATAAAGTCACAAATATGGCGAAAAATATAGGGTTTTTAAACAATGGGACTATTAAGAGCATAATAACATAATAATAACAAGTCCGTGGGTTTCTAAGAGTCCATTTATCAAAAAAGCCTAGTTTAGCGAAGCCGGTATTCGAAATACCCCAGAGTTTAAAACCCTTGCGGCTATTCAGTATACTTTTCAAAGGAATCCAAACGCAACATTTAGGAACAATTCATTACGGGATAAGAGTGTCCGTCCCTCTCCTAAATTCTAAACAAATTTTTTAATACATTTCTCTTTGAAAAGTGCCATAATGTCATGGACATTGAGACACTTTTAAGAATTATCATAACGTCCACGGACATTATGACACGCCACCGCGTTTAATTATATCCATGGACGTAATGCCACATCAAAAAGTGTCATAGTGTCCATTTAAATTCAGACAATTTCAAAAGTGTCATAATGTCCATGGATATTGTGACACTTTGGAAAATTTGGTTAGAATTTGTCCCGAAAAGAATTGTTCCTAAATTTGGATTCTTTTTAAAAAGTGTCCTGGATAGGGGCGCAGGATTTTTAAACCCTAGGGTATTCCAAATACCGGCTTCGCTAAATTATGCCTTCTTATAATTTGTCACATTGTCCATTGACATTGTGACACTTTTGAAATTGTCATAACGTCAATGGATTTTGGCTTGTAAAATACTTACTTCTGTATATCGAATTTCATAGCTACAATCGCATTTTTAAGCCAGTGCGTTAAAGTCATTTTCTGAAGGAGGCCTTGTATGGGGGATATGATCAATTATGGACTGATTGTCATAAAATTCGGTAGAGAGATTTGTGCCCGTAAGAAACTTATGTTTAATTTCGGAGCTATACTCGTATTTTTAAGACAGTAGTGAGCGTTAAAGTCATTTTCTGAGGGGGGCCTTATATGAGGAGTATAGTCAATTGTGGACCTCATAAAATTTGGTAGATAAATTTAAACTCATAAGAATGTTGCTTATTTCATCGCTATACTCTTAAATTAAGGCAACAATGTGCGTTAAAGTAATTTCCGGAAGGGGACCTTATATGGGGGGTAGGTTAAATTATGAACCGACTCTCATAAAATTCGGTAGATAGGTTTTTGTTCTTGAGAAACATATATATATAACATATATCGAATTTCAGCGCTAGTCTCGTATTTCTAAGCCAGTAATGGGTGTTAAAGTAATTTTTTTGACGGGACCCTATACATATGTAGGGTCATTTATGGAGCGATCCAACATTTGGTAGATAGAATTTGGCTCATATGAAACTTATTTATGTTGAATCTCATCGCTATACTCGTATTTTTAAAATACTAATGACTGTTAAAGCTGCTCTGCGGCCACTTATATGGTGGCTATGCGAAAACGTGGACCGTTTTGCTTATTTGGAATAGCAAACAAACCTTACCTATAAGAAATATTTGTGAAAAATTTCAACTCTCTAGCTCTTTCCGTTCGGACTCTATCGTGCTTTCAGCAGACAGACAGACGGACGGGTGGACAGACAGACAGACAGATTACAGACATGGCTAGATCGTCTTTGAATATAATAAAGGCCCTATAAGGGTCTATGATCAATATTTCTATGTGTTACAAACGGAATGACAAAACCAATATACCTCCCATCTTTTTTGATAGTGGATGTAAAAATTACGACCCTACTACGCCACAACCGTATAACATCGATTCTGAATTGAACAATTGTTTTGTGTTTATTTCTCCAACACATATTTGACTTTATGAAAATCTCTACAATTAATGGTTTTTGTCTTGAATAAATGTACATATTCATAATGTCAATGGTAGTTGGCAATGCAACATAAAAAATGTAATGTTGCCACATTTTATAAAGAATCAAAGTACTATTTTAGCATAGACAACCCCCATTTTCAATAAACGTTAACATTTTTCATTTCAAACTGTGATATATTTTCTTTTCTTTTAAAAAGTAATATTTTGACAAATTTCCCCTAAGATGTAGAGCGGTTTTTAAATAAATTAAAATCTGGGTTTACTGTACATTTTAGGGCCTTATTCATAATAATTTATCACAGGTTTATAAGGCAATTTTTCATACAAAATTTGTTCAATAAACCTTTGATAAATTGTTATGATTAATGTAAGTAACTGCTATGTATTTGTTAGTAAGATGTGGATTTGTTGTAATAACAAAACTTTTTTCTACATTAAAATTTAAATTTTTTAAAATTATTTAAATTACTTTACATACATTTTGCTGTCCATAATGAAACAACTTACTTACTTCCTTTAAAACTTTTGCACCAACATTATGTTAAATGACAAGCATGTGTCTGTGTCTCTTCTGATAAGAAAATTTAATTCTATTATGTATAATAAAAATATATATATTTAGTATATATTTTGGCGCACAAATTTCTTTTCATAATAAAAACAGCATGTGTTCCTGCATGTGAAAATGTTGTAAAAAAAATAAAGCGAAGGTTTATTGTCAAATGTTGAGCACAATCTGTTTTCCCTTGGAGAAAAAAAGAAGGTACATTGTTGTTTTTTTTTTTTTCGTTTAAGTAAAGGTTTTCCTCTGGTTTTCTTTATGGCGAACATTTTTTTAAAATTATCAATGTTTGTAGGATCCAATTAATTTTACGACATAAATCTGCTTAAAAAATATTGTAGAATATCAAGACTTTTATTCACATGTCTGCTGTATATTTATATACAGACACATAAAAGTAAACATATTTGAATTAAAGTGTAAATGTATGGGTAAATAAATGTCCTTACACTTATATAACTAAGGGAGTATTTTTGTGTGCTTTTAGGCTAAATTGATTTTTATGAAAAAAAATTCTTAAATTGCTACTGTTTATTTAAAATATAATAAGGTATTGATTTCTAATTTTAAATTTAAAAATTTGAAAAATGTAAAAGGTCAATTACAAGAAAAACTTAAATTGAATTTTCTAAAAA